GACTTTCTTACACGGTACCAAAAAGTAATCCACCAGAACACAACTACTAGTTGAACTAGCTTATGAAGTGTCATCAGTCATACTAAACATTTATACCAAAACACTGTTTATTCCCTTTATTCTTATTTGAACTAAATAAATGAATAACACATGACGTGCGGGCACGGCTGATAAAAGGTAACGAGTGTCACTCTGATGAAAAGTTCAGTAATTTTCAGAGTGGTTAGCCAGGTCTGATGACTCCCCCTCCAGGCAGGTTCTCCGGAGACAAATCACAGACAGTACCTGGCAACTAGTGGTAACTATGGTAACTAGTACCTGGCACTGTCTGTAACCTGTAGGAATTACCGGCAAGTGCTCGAAGCTGAAAGTGCTAACTAAATAACCTGTGTCGAGACGTATAGTCGAAAAAAGTGAGAAAATAGAAATGTCTTTTAAAACATTTGACGCTCGTTTCTATTTGACTGTTAAAAGTTTCAGTAGTTGGGACTTGTGGACGCCTTGGTGAAATAAGGCGCTGATAAATCATAGCTTAAACCTTGAGGTCACTTAAAACGGCTGAAAAATAAAATTGAAATTATTAGGGTGATGTCATAAGCAGAGTGAGCAAATTAAGTTTCAGTGCTAAGTTTTCAAAAGACAATATTGACAGAATGAACGCCAAACTACTGCAGCAAAAGAGACGAGCTTGCCAAATAAACTAAACTCAGACAAAACAAGTGCAACTCTAGAACAGGTCTACGTTTTACCAAATTGCACGTTAATTAGGGACGAAGCAGGCACGGTCAGCCCAGGTAGACAACATGAAGCCAAGACGTGTTGTGTACTAATCCACCGGAACACGTGTTGTGTATCTTAGTACGGAACTTTCTAGATATTCTTTACTGGTTTCATTCATACGAGGGGTTCATGTGGACTGTGCTATAAAACAGAAAGCTGATTTAGAATAGAAATACACCAAAACTCAACGTAAAATAAGTTATCAATATGATCTTATCAATTAAATGGGTTGGGTCAGGAAAGTCAGACCTCAAATCATCTAATTTGCCGCACCGGAGCAAATGTGCCAAGCTAAACAAATAATGAAATTGAAACGGAGCAAAACATTAAGATCACTAAATTTACATCTTGCGTGATTTTGAAATATCTTTATGTCCTGAAATATTATGATGATCACAGCTATATTTGTAAATTTACTAGATTCAGACCTCTACAACCAACCCTCGGAAGGGAGTATTTATTTTGGGATGGGTGGTTCATTTTAAAGTATTTATGAGACAACGTGAGTGGGGTAAGGGAATAAAAGCTAAATCTGAACAGTCGCTTATTTCGGGCTAGGTTAGAACAACATAAGGCTGGACATATTCGCGATCCTGTCGCTGCAAAGTGTCAATCCGTTAACCATCACCGTCATCTGATTATCTGACAACAGTTGAAAAACACTCCGGAAATCGCATGGCAGAAACATGTGGGCACATGTCCGGAGAAAGGACTCCCTCGCACTTGCCTCCACAGTTAGACTGTTCTACAAACTACAAACTATATTCAGTGAGGTCATCTCCGCACTGTTATTGTTGTACACCGCAGGTTGCTGTATTTATTAAGCAGGACAAATACAGTGCCTTGTATTGAGAGATGCGAGCATGGACTCTGGAGTGATTTAAAATTACAATGAGTGAGTTTGAAGTCTGAATTTCTTTAGTACTTCACACCTTTAAGCAAGTAGTTTTATAACGGCAGCATAATGGATTAAGTCGATCATAAAGCGATGATAGAACTTTACTTGATCGAGAAGTCCGCCCTAACAAAACCGGTAACCTACCATGTTCCTTTTGATATTACTAAACTTGCGACGTTTTAAGATGAGCGTTCTGGATTTTAGGCAACAGTCTGGTGTTTTATTGAAGTTAAGTCTGGTTTTGTATTTGCGTAAAGATAAGAAAAATTAACCGGAGAAAGTATTGCATCAATAAAATTACATTGAATTAGATTCGCCAGAATATATGGCACAATTCAACGCTAGCAAAACAAATCAAACCAAAGTGGTTGAACAAAAATAAATGTGGTGTTAATAATTTCCCGTACAACCAATGATAAGCCTTATCTTAAAAGATTATACGAATCATCTCCCTTCTTAAACCGTTTTATCGCACAAACAGTATAACTATAGGGCAGAATAGATAAGGGAAACGTAAATGAGTGTAATTCACTGATCTTAAAGTTAAATCATCTCAAACTGAAGGATCTGGTTCAGTCAGAATGGACAATTATGGGAATAAATATAGAATATCTAATTAAATTAAGCCCAAAAAAGACTTCCAATGAACATTAGGAAATTACCCTGTTCATGATTCTAAGACAGATGAAGATTGAAGAGGATGCCCATCATTACAACAATATTCAGTTTACAATTAACATGCTCAGCAGATTCAATCGGGCGTGATCTGGAGGCGGAAACAATCCTGACGTCTGCAATTTGCTAGAACAAATTGCAAGCTGATTAACAGTTGATGGGCGGTGTTTTACAACTGTAACTATAAGAACTAACTCATCGGAGAATATAATCACAAAAGCTGGGAGAAGGAAACTATCAGCGAATTATCGTTTATCGGATATACTGCATCAAGATGGACATATAAGGTGTTGTTTTTGTGACGCGTGTTGTGGGTATAATCACTGTATCGGGGGTGCCTAAGTAGGTGTATAAACTAGGGAGGTGATGAGGTAGTTGAGCAGTTCAACAGTTTCAACTTTCATCAAACTAGCTTCCTACAAGGAGGGCATCTGTTTGTAGGTTTTAGTCCGGTAATCGGGGAGTTTTCTGTAGCTCGTAGGTGCACACCTACCCTCATGGACACAGTAGCTTTTGACCAGTCAACAACCCGCAATCTGTGAATTAACCAATCAGTGAAGGATGTCAGATCACGTGCACATGGTAAAGAGAACGTGTTGACAAAGTGCGCGGGAATTGGTCACGTGGGCGATATAACGTCACACCTCGTGACTATCTGACTGCAGGTGTTATCTAACCTTATATCGAGACCTTACTTCTCGCCTTATCCGAAACAATCGACCGTTATTATTCGTAATTTTACCGGAAAATGAATTTTCGCATACGGTCGAAGTGCAGCTGAGATGGACCGTCCCCGTGCTACCTCTAGATAATATGGAGGTAGGCTGCCCAATACCCAGATACATTCCACTTGAAAATTTACTAGGTTTCCGGAAACCAAGTAAATCATGAATCACCTCCTTTTCTCGCTACACTATTCACAGGATTCTAAAGCAAGCTGAAAATAAGATGCTATTTTATGATGTTTTAAAAGCGTCCCTCGATCGGATTAATTAAAATCAGAGTCCATAACGCCGGACTAAGATTGACGTAAAGCAAGTGAACCTAGACTATAATGAATAAATTAACGAAAATATAAGACGTTAAATCTACACAAACATTCAGGAGAGCGAGCCTAATCAATACCACTAATCAAAGTTCTTAACTCATCCAAAATATACAGAGCGAGGAAATGTAGTCGAATGTTCAAGAAGTTGTGAAGTAGCTGAAGGTAATGCTGGAGTGTCGGGCTCTGAGTCAGGTCCTATCTCACGCCGTGTCCCAAAACAACAAAATCTATACTTTGGTGAACCAGGAACTCCAGTAATGCCGGAATAATATGAGGGTCATTAGCATAGATTATGTGCTCATTATCCCAGGGATAATGCCGATGAGTACGAATCAGACTCGGGCGTAGGTCAACTCAGGACCAGCTTCTTGGATTCTGCAGCTTTGATAATTAACAAGTCGAGTATTCGCTAAAGAGGAGAGGACAGGTTCCAACTTAGCTGGAACTCATAATCATACATCATACTAACGAAGAGCACGACCAAGAGTACCAACTTTACTGGAACTCATAATCATATATCATACCTACCTAACTAACCACCACTCATTAACATACATTGTGCAGAGAGCTGCAAAATGCAAATAAGAGGAAGAGCGTACATTACACTGGGCCCAGATAGAGGACCTGTATATATAATATAATAATACACGAGGAGGGGATTTAATGAAGAGAGGGCCCGTATTGAGGACAATACCATTCACCAACCCAAAACATAGCTCTGTTACTTGATCTCACACTGTAATCAATATTCAATCAACAGCAAAAGATTGAGCCTGCGATGGCTGTGAATGGAATGTTTAAACAAGCCAAAACACTGAGATAATAGATGTGTCCCAGCCATGGAGAGGATGACAATAGAGGACCATTACTGGTGCCGTTTAGGGGGGTATAATCGATACTGATAGTACAGGACTGAATGGAGCTGAAGACGGTGACTGGTCTTCATTAGCTATATCAGGGCTTGAGAATTGAGATGTTACATTTAATTGGACTGAGCTCAAAGCTCAACATCCAATAATTGCGCGATAAAGAGAGTTGGAACTTGAAACTGGTTCAAGGAATGCTGAATGGTTCTTGTGATAAACTAATTATCAACTAATCAGATCATAATTGACACGTTTCAATTACATCAATGACCGGAATAACCCCTCCCTGAGTGAAGTACAACCCTTTTAACAACCTCCCCCACAAAAATACCACACATGTGAGTCACCTACTAAACTTTTAGTCCAGATTGGTTTTGTGATTACTCACAACATGATCAGAAGACGAGCTTTTGGCGAGAGTTTGACCTACATGTACAATGTTACTTTTTGAACCATGATTTCAAATGTGATTTATGGAAACCATCCCAGCCTAAATAATCATACATCCCACTTGAATAATTGGGAAAACTCAAATAAAAAGTTAACAGGACAGATCTTAAACTGAAATTTAACACACTTGAACACACGTCAGACTCGTATTGATATAGACAGTGGACATCATAGCGTGACGCTACAAACAGAAACAGAAACAGAAACAGAAACAGGAACAGAAACAGAAACAGAAACAGAAACAGAAACAGAAACAGAAACAGAAACAGAAACAGAAACTCACATTAGAGCCAGGTTTTGAGAGGAGTATAGCCCACTTGTTATCCTCGTCACTAGAAGAGATGATCCAGCCAGCCATCCGACAGGAGGTGATGACGGTGTTATCCTCCTGAGTTGCTTTTATCCGCACCACGTTACCTCGCACTGACACCCACCTGGTAACCCAATGGTGTGTCTCTGTGGACAAGGAGGAGAGTTTAGAAGAATATTCGGTAAATTAGTTATTATTAACAGCCTTATTGTTGTAGATGTAGATTCTGGTGGGGGAGGTGAAGCATTTTTTGACAACGTGACAGTGATTCTCAGGTTTGATTGGTCGATAGTGGATGCTGATTGGTTAATTGATGTCATGTAAAAAAAATTCATCACCTCCCCATCAGAATCCACATCTATTAACAACTGCTTAGCATATCTATATGGACATAACAGTGTAGATCATTGCCCATTGGGACTGTTGTGCTGAAAATACGAAACTCTACAAGTTCAGCTCAGGTGTCTTAATGAAGAAAATAATCAATTTAAGATGGAATCAGTGTGGTCTTAGACGATATGCCACGACTCTAAGATGTCCAGTGTAAGTCGACCCACCTTTGACCTCGAGATGTCCCTCTGTCGGCTTGTCATCGGCTGAGCAGTGTCGGGACCTGGTAGCCTGAAAGTACAGGCTATTAATTTTATTGCGTAAACTTTTATGGCTAGAAAACCTATGATGAAAATATTTATCCGGCGCTAATTCAATGCAATTTATAGATTTATGGAGTAAAAAGTTGCATATTAGGTATTTTTGCTGAATTCAACTCGGACTTTCGGTCAGAAACCCCCAATAAAACGGTCAGAGTAAACGTTTAAGTATTAAAAACCAGCTGTTTTCATAGCGAGCACTGGAGGGAAGATTTTGTATGGCATCAAGTTGTCATTATAATGTCGGGGTTTGGTTTGGATGTGGAACCCATAAGTTCTCAATTTGAAACCATAGGACACCAACATTAAGTCTAAAGTACCTATATATTTAATCACAAAACTCCTTGATAAAGATTTAAACATGTCACATTAATAAACTCAAAGGCGATCCAAATGAGAAATGTAACAGCTTCTTCTGTTGACCTACCGACAATGACACGATTTGGGTAAAGGGCATGGTTTAAAGAGGACAACCGAAGATCAGTGACGCTCTTGCGAGTTTCATGGGCACATGTGTTGTAGTCACAGCAACTCTCCTAAAACTACAAGAGTACAAATATTATTCAGTGAGAATAATTGAAAGTAAAAAAGTGCCACTGCAAATAAAAGAGTTCACGGTCCGAGCCACCATCACATATCCGGGAATAGAAAAAGAGCACATTGTTATTGTTTTCCTGAGAAACACAACGGCCTGCAAAGAAAGAAACTGCGCTCCACAGTCGATATTGAAACGCTGAAAAGAAGGAGTAACCGGTAGTCACTGAATAATTCGCTAAATTCGCTAATTCAACTGCTGATAACTGTTGACAGTTTCGTTTAGCAAAAGGAGGGGTCGATTCATCTGGACAAGCCGGTCTGGAAACGTCGTTTTTTTTGTAAAAACGACATTAAAACCATGCTAGAACAAATTCAACATCAGCTCCATGTCCAGATGTGCACGATTAAGAGTTTCCAGATGAGGGTTCCTACTCATTGGAAGAAGGAAATGAGGCTAAATAGAGGGGGTTTGCCGGGTTCAGGGCCAATCTAAAGGACCAATTAAACTTGTTAGTCTGTCTATTAAAATCTAGATACACAAAGGCTGACGAATCAATGTTCAGACTTACTCTCTTTACACGAACCTACCGAATGAAGTCAGGTAGAGTAAGAGAGTAGTAACTGAACATGAACATCCTGTATAAAACCAACCCTTGTATACGTGGGGTAGCTTATTTGCGGGGGAACTTGGACCAATAGCGGACAATAGTGATCAGGGGCTAATTGTGGGGGTTAATTACATAAACTGTGTAGTCGGGTGGGGACCTCTATATGTTACAAGTAGGAGGAGGAGTATTGGATACTGTGGAAAGAGATTGGGGTCCGGGAACAGAAGTTATTGAGGCGTGGAGGGAGAGACAAGTAGGTTTAAAGTCTATCTAGTGAAAATGAGTACCTACAGGACGCTAAAATTACGGGGAGACTTAGTAAAGACTGATACGGAAATTGTGAAAGGATCTGACAGCAGGTAGTTATCCTATAGAGTCTAGAGTAAGAGAAAATAAATTATCATGAAAAATTTCCGCTCAGATACAAAATACTAAATCAAACGTAGCTCTCGGAGGCCATTAGCATAAGTACGCATTACGCAAGGGCTGAAGAGTACATAAGCGAACTGGCCAGGGGCCAGGACCCCAAATAGATATAGTACAAGGAAGTCTAAAATTTAGGTTTAGATAAGATAGACGACCCCTGATACGGGGTAGTGGTAGGTACACGAACAAAGAGACCACAGCAGGGGTTATACTGAATTCTTATACTAAATTGTATTGTTTAATGTCCTAAGGATCTTAGCTAACATTTGCTGACATGTAATTAAACTGCCTGTATGTTGCTTTAAAGGGTAAATTATGCAGCAATGTGTCTCAACACAAAGCGTATAATATTTGTGTAATATAAATCAAGTAAACAATAAAAATAAGGCGGGTGTTTCGCAACAGTATAATTTGGGTGCGAGTCTTGTGGGGGGGTACGTTACAAATTGTGATGGTCAGGCTTTGCACAAAGTGACGTAGGATCTAGGTTATTAATCACGCGTATTGTTACGAGTGACGCGATCGCTTGTAATGCTATTGTTTAAAATATGGTTACGCATGTAGTTTTCAGATTTAGTCATCTCATAATATGATCGCTTAAAACTTTACAATATGTCGTCATATGGTCCACGCAAAAAACCTTTATATCGTTTACGATTCTTCTTCATTATTCTGAGGAACGCTATATTATGTTCTGATGGAGTGGAGTAACATTGCGAGACTGATCAGAAGAAATGTGAGTCATACGAAATGTGAATCAAGACTCAATAACAGTGGCCCACAACATCATTTCTAAAAACTGCCGTATTAAACTATCACTTAGTGTAGGTTTCTCTGGTGCCAGTTAACAGTACACGGACAAGCTCTAGGCCCCAGACAAGCCCCCAGACTAAGAGGAGACTTATATGTTATAGAGGAGACATAGTTTTGTCACCCAGTTCTCTACCACTCCTGTAACAGTCACAACAGGTAGAAATTGGACAGAAGCACCAGACCAGACCTGGAGAAACAGACACAAAAACTTCAAACAAAGCAGGGTAGAGCTACGTGCGTACATATATATGAGAAGAATTTGGGTATACTTTTTTACTAGAGTTTGTGAATTGAGGTGATGATAGGAGAACAAATTGTACAGTGTACAGATGTGTGTTGTGTGCTGGGTTGGTAATTGTCTGAACACACCTCACACCTAGAGGCGACACTCAGTCTGTTAGTCACACTGTTCTAGGTGTGATTAGTCACACTCTTCTAGGTGTGACTCTTTCAGCGCTTAACTTTAGGGTAAATCGTGGTTTTAATACCGTAGTCGGAACTATCTGTTGCAATAGTTTCTCTGTCTGTCTCGCGAATAGATCATGACATGATGGTATCGACACACTTGAGATCATATCCCTTATCTGGAGTCAGTAGAGCGCATTCCTTGGTGATATCAGTGAATTCTGAAGATTCTTGTACAATGACACGAGCCTTATGTTGTTTCCGTTTGTATCAGTGTGTCCGAACCGTTCTAAAACCATAGTAACTATAAGCTAGACGATCAGTGAGGTAATATCTAGATAATATCTAGCGGTGTAATGTATGTAACCATAGAAACTGTGAGATAATATCTAGCGATATAGTATCTGTAAAAGGGCATGTGTAGCACACTTCACGGAATCCTCATCACCGCGTACCGGGTACAAGCACGAGTTGACTATGGGTGGTATATTATAATACAAACTGTGTAATTATTACACAGCGATAAAGCCTAACTGTGTAAAGTACGGTCACGCCCACAGTAGTCTGCAGTCCTACAGTATCACGTGATAACAACAGCAAACTAGTGACTAATCATGACTAATAACACAGTGTAACTCCCTGGCTACTCCGTCACAATTGTGAGCGTGTAACTGTCACAAAATCAACTTGCTGACAAAAACTCATGAAAAAAAAGTGCACAGGGCACTGTAGCTAGATTTAATTAGCCGCTCTCACAAATCACTCACCAGCTGGAAATACTGCGCAACGTTGGTTGTGATGTGAACCGTTCTTCTTCGCCTCCCAATCATCACTCAGCAGCCCAGTGGTGGTTGTAGCCACATTCACAACTTCGCTACAAATCGGAGAATTTATTCGTTGTGTCCGGTAGTTGGTTCCAGACAAATGCAGACATAAATTATGTAATACAACGAGGGATTGCAATTGGCCGAATTGGTCAGAAAATACAAAAGGTCTGGCGGATATGAAACTGAGAATAATTTCAAGCTGAGTTGAAGGGAGAGGTTGACGACCACTGTCATCGCTACCCGGCTTCAGCTCTCCTTCGAGTGTTCTAAAATAAGAAATCATATGTCCTGTATGAAAATTGCACAAATTTGTCAAGGCTTGAGGGAATCGCCAGCAAATCAGCTCACACATCAATTAACCCTGACACCTGACAGGTACTTAGGAGAAGGAAAGAAAGAGAAGGCAGAGAAGTGAGCTGGGGGAGATTGTGGGAGGTGAAGAGCTGGGGAATTGTTAAACAAGAACACGCGTCAGAGCGATACAGGGAGCACGTGACTACTCTTGGTGTTTCTTATTGGTGGGTGGCGTTCACAGCTACTGGGTGGGAACAGAGGGTGAAGTCAATGAGAACTTCTGATAGGACCTTCGATTTAACCAGTTTTCATTGGCTGCTTACATCTTTTATCTGACTTCTGGTTGTTTCAGTTTCAAGCAGCATCATCTGATTAGCTATGGCTTGTTGTGTTTGAGCCCCCGCCAGACAGTGTTTTTATGGGGAGATGGAGACTGCTGGAGACTGTTGGATGCGCGGTCTCGTCTGTCAACACTGAGCACACTAAACCTGGATAGGATAAGCCTGCAACACCAAGCTCCATAACTCAGCTTATATTCTGTATTCTGTAATTAGCACAGGGATAATCAGCGTCAACCACTATGCACTGTACCATATTCAATGTACACTCTATTCTTAGCTCGGTAAAGAAGCCACTTCCTAGAGCCTTCATAAAAGGATCTAGGACTTTACAGAGTTCATGTTTTAAGTCTCAAGGGAACGGAGCAGCTCTAAAAGCTACGATGAAGCAACAAAATAAAGCATATCACGGCTACGGACAGATACAAACTATTAGATACAAATTATATCGAGATATAAGTTTACCATACAATAAATCCTGATAACAGGATGCCTGTCGGAGATAGATAACAAAGGGTACCCCCATGAATTGTCACACTACACACACAGGTTCTACATTCTACAAGTGACAAACCCATGGCAAATGTATCAGTATTTGGCACGTGGCCGCGTGGATGGGCTGTAAATAAGTTTAATCATGATGATGGTTCTAAAACAAGGAACACAAGCCTATATTTAGTAGGGTACGTGATCTGCTCTGCTGGGGCTTCAGATAGATGTCTCCAGGATTTAGCTTACAAATTGTTACATTCTATTGTATCATTGGAATTAGTTCGTCATCTTGTAAATCGTCAGATTTAATGACATGACAATCATTGGAAGGAGCAATCAACTTTCATCAACTACTCCCAATTTACAGGCAGTTGCGAAGTATCAAGATTCCGATTTCTATTTTTAAACTGTGTTATCCTCATTTAGACCATATGTTTCATTAGCATGAGTCATGGTTTAAACTAAAACTAAAAACGATGGACAATCTCTTCTGAATTCCACAAATATTCAGCCGTGCAAGATAATGACACTAATCATGTCTTATATAGTTTCATAATATTAATCGCTGGTTAGGAGTGTGTTAATAGGTAAAAAGAATCAGCTTATTTGAGTAAACGAACTGTGAACTGTGAAGTTTGCGGTTACTTTAACCACATACAGTGTAGTTTAATAGTTTCGAAGGAATCTGGAAATAGCATACCTGTATGGCTTCAAGCCAGTGCCGAAATCTGGCGATAGCACGTCGAGCGGGTAACGTTAAACATCCCATACTTCACCCAAGATTGAGATCCATCTAACGAGCAACTGCTTAACAGGAGATCAAGAAGAAAGACTTACCAATTTCATAAAGGCGATGGCGTTGCTGACCCGTCTGAACTTCTTAAGCATGACTGGGCAAATCGGACGGGAACCGCTAGCAGAATGAACAATTTCACAACTTTATCGGAGGAACAGGCGCAAGAGTATACGGGTGCTATATTTGGTAGCAATCAACAACCGGGTAGGAATATTCTGGTACTATTAAAATATAACGAGCGGTTTCGGTCGGGGTAGTATACCCGTACAATTGTGAACTGCCATGTCATGAGTCACCTGACCAAACGTTCACAGTTCTTGAAAAGTCACGTGATGCAGATAAAATTAACCCCACTCCTCGTGAACGCTAAACGAAACAAAGGAACATAAAACCGGGCTGCTTCACCAGACGTCACAAGATAACTAACAACTATAATAGGACCTGTGAAGGTGGCCTGAACAGGAATGAAAACCAGCAGATCAACAAATGCTGATCACCGCCTAACAAGTCTCATTATGATGACCTACCATTGTGGTTGTGTCCGTGACAAATACCGGATAATTGGACCCCTCATTAGTTATCACTTATCTCGTGCTGGACAAAATAAGGTTTAAATAACCTGTCATTAGTTATCAGCCGAGTTGGCTGACAGAAAAGTGAGATACTAGTCGGCCAAACAAAGATTTATCAGGTCACGTGATCTAGATAATGTAGGAATTAGAGACGGAAAACTTATAAAATAGACATGGTGGTAGAATAGGGACAATTGTTGATCACAGCACGTGAAAAAGTCTGTAAGATATTATTACATTGATTTCCCTGATTTGTTCTCAGAAATGGTATCGAGAGAGAGAGAGAGAGGTTGATAAATTAGACATCTTTTAATTAACAAATTGTAACAAATCTCTGCAGCTATCAACTTCTAATGACACTAATTTTCCAATGCAATCTAATAATTCTAATTGGTTACATAAGTTAAGTTTGTAATTCTAGCTAAATCTTCAAGGCTGAGGAGGCCTGAGCGACTCATGACTAAGCTTAAGGGCTAACTTATTTCAATAATTACAAAGCTAAATATTCATTGCTAAGAGCCTTAAAGCCGGTCAGAGTAACCGGAAAATATTTAAAGAAGAAATTGTAAGAAAGCTGAATATAAGCGGACCGAGATCAAGGAGTCGAGATTAGAAAGTAGGCGTTAGGACGTAAGATTCAAGAGTTATTACAACGGAATTAATAGGTAGGCCAATGACTCACCCTGTTTATAGGATCTTTATGGGCAGCAGCGTTGAACAAGGGCTGTCCGCAGTCAAGATCCTGAGAAAGTAGCCGGGTCAACATGACGAATTGCAACTGAAGCCGGGCAGTCACAGCGTTAATGACAGCGATAAATGGATCCAAGATTAGCAATTTGGTAAAACACCCTTCGTAAACGGTCAAACTGAAATGCGCTGAAACTCACGCGGTCATGCTCACTCTCAGACTTTACAACAGACGCCAATCTTACGATTACCGCCCACTCAAAACGGACTAACGCGGTTCACACAACAAATCATACAACTCACACGGTAAATCACACATGCAGGGCTCAATATAAATCACACATTCACACACGCTCTCACCTCTCTCTCGAAACTCTTGTTAAACCTGGTGCCTGGTGGTGTATTTGCTCGACGATTAAATGGACTGACAGGCTCAGAGGGGTCTACATCAGAAAGTGGATTCCGGAAACGAAGGCTCAGAGGTGAAACATTGCTTCCTGATCCTTCTAAACGCTGGGATCCTGTGGAGCCACCTCCTTCAGAACTTTTGAATCGCGATGATTGGGTTGACAAGCTGGTCCCAAAACTATCAAATCGAGACGATTGGGTTGACAAGCTGTTTCCGTAACTATCAAATCGAGATGATTGGGTGGACAACATTCCCGAACTTTCATATCGAGACGATGTAGAAGACAAGGTATTTCCAGAGCTCCCTAATCTCTGAGATCCGGCAGTAAACCTGTTGTACGGTTCTCCTGGATCGAACGTGTCCCTTGAGTCGCTGTAAACGAACGTGCCCCTGTTTCTCAATTTGTCAGGAGTAAAAGATCGGTTCTGTCGGAAGAACGGCGAGGCATTTTCTGCGGAGTGGAACACGTGATCATTGGGTGGACTGCAGTATTGAGACTCCTGGTCAGATAGAGGGTTGGGAACAGGATAAGGCCAGGTACTGTCTTGTGGAGGGACAATTGGTTTGTATTTTGGTGGTTTCACAGGGGGTCGAGAAGGCATGGTTACGTTAGGGGGTCTTGAGGGGAGAGTTGCACCACGAGATCGTGGTCGGGGAGAATCGTTGGGACTGTGAGGAGGTAGAGTGGGACTAGGTTCCGGAGGAAGGGTTGGTACTGGTCGGTTTGGCGGAGGTAACATCGGGTGAACATCAGGTACTGGCCGGTTTGGTGGCGGTAACATCGGCGGAACGTCTCTGTGTGGAGTCACGTGGTGGTACCTGCTGCCACTCCCGCTGGAAGCATACCGTGTTCTTGATTTCTCCTCTTCAGAGTAAGCAGTGTACCGTGGTTGTGGAGCAGCTGGTGTTCTCAGCTCTGCAGGATTAAAGTAGTTATCTGAGTGGGTCCTACGGTGACCTCTCTGGTATTTCCCACCCCCTCGTTTCGGTGCAGGTGGAGTCTGGTGCACTTTGTTCCTACTGCCAGACTGCATGCTGCTCGACCTAGTTTTTTCGTCTGGTTTCTCAGTGTAGGCCCGTGCCCCGAAGGAAACTGTGGCCCCTCTTTGTGGCACACCCTGCTCCTCAGACATATGCGGACCAACCAGCTGGTAAAGATCCACATAATCAGGATCCATGTCTCTGAGTATTATGGGGTCTGGTCTAAGTTTAGAAAGCGCCTTTAGTTCCTGCTCCCAAACGTTGAGCTCCAGCCTAGATTTAGCCGCCAGAATTATTGGAGCCTTGGCAATTGGTTCAATTTTTATAACGTAAGGAGGATTAGCTGAGCTGTTGCATGTTGTGGTTATTTTCGATCCTGGAAGGTAAACTGAATCTTGTGGCCATTCATCAGTCCCACTTACATATTCCCTTAATATTGATCCGATGACGACGTAATGACGGTAATCCCACTGGTCACCACTCCGCCTGTTAGACTTTTTCAGGGTTCCAGAAAGGACAACAGTCTCCGAGCCTGACTCAGTTTCCAACCACACATCATCAGAAGCTTGAGATCCTCCGTGAGATGGGAACTCGCGTTCAAAGGCTGACGTTAGTGATGCTTTGTTAACTTCTGTGTCAGGAGGTGACTTTGGGAGGCTGCTCACACTTTTAGAAGATGTCCTCTCTCGACCCAGTGTAATGCCTTTCAGGGTAGTGAGACTAGAAGTAGCCATCTGCTTTATGGTTGATTTCGTTAGAGTGTTCACCGGAGTCCGCTCTGTTGATCTCGCTGCTTCTCTCAAACCTTGGACCCAGTGATCCCTAGACTGCTGGTTTTGGGCTGCTAAATATATGGTCTTCTTTCCTTCGCCCCATATCTTGAATACCCATTCTTTTTTGTGCTCGTCAAACTTGCTTCTACAAATGGAATAATGTGGCAGATAAACTTTGGTGACCGAGAGATGGTCTTTGGGAGACTTGCTGATGTACAAGGAATTGTCAGAACAAACACACCACCGTTGGATCCAGGACAGACGAGTTTTACGCATCAGGAACCCATACAGAGGCTCCGAGTCCTCATCTACACCCATTTGCTGGTCGATGGTCAATATTTTGCGTGCTTCGTCCTGTACAAATCAGGGGATGAAATCACCCTGCACTCAACTTACACTTTATAGTCATGAAGAAGTTTATAGAGTTAATACTTTATAAAGTTGTACGATGAGGGAAGATTATATCTAAAGAAGTTTATTGTATGGTTTCTTACCATCAGTTGATCACGCTCACTTATGTCAGACATCTTCTGCTTGTTCCTGAAAATAAGGTAATTTAAACTAATTTAGGATTTCTTACGGTTTCTGAAACCGCTGAGTTGATTAAGCATCAGATTTACGGATGGATAATTTGCGGTTATATTATTGACGACTGCGCGCAGTCAACAAGTTTTGTGAAATTAATTCTGTTATGCGCGGCTCAATATTACAAGTACCATGGCATGGTTATCGATAAAATTGAAGCGCGCCGTACGTATATGTGAGGATCGAATTTTCCCGCTTTTCTATCAGTGCGAAAAATTAAATTATGGACCCGGCATTTGTCAATGATTCCAAGATGTATGAAATGGACCTTAATCATAATTAATTAGGTTAATAAACTCTTCGACTAAAAACTCTTCTTGGCACCTGGCAGCAGAATACTATCTTATCGTCCCTCATTAGATTAATATCAACCAACTAACTTTATCAATATAAGTTCAAAGCCAAAGACACGGTTCTTTTCAAATGAAATAAAATTAAAACTAGTTATCTCGATACACCCCTACCTGTCTGCCAGAGTATGTGAAGTATAACGAATCAGACAGGAACGCTTAAATGAACAAAGCGGGCCTGCAACACCCCGGGGCACTAATCAGAACACTAACTCAGCCATTCAAACATGAAATATCAATTTCAGTGGACCACTGGTAATGTTATTTTCAAGTGCATAAATTTTATATCCTGTTATTTGGTAGGCCTGGGGGTTACCAGAACAACACTAAAAACGGATAATAACTCAATAGATATTTAGTAAACTTGGTGAACTACTGCGTGTTGCCCATATTAGATGTGGCTATTTTTATAAGCCATGAAAGTCCTAGGAAGACCGCAAATGCGGCACTGGCTCCTTAAGATGGCTAATAGAAAGTTTGCAGACAGTTCAAAAAAACTAGGAAAAACTTCAACTCCAATAGACCCATAATAACTCTAATTCAAAACCACCAAACAGAGATGCATAAACAATAACAGAAGAACATGATATGTGCATATAATAATATCACGACAGCAGTCTCCAAACGGCACTCCTGAGCAACCAAGTATTGAAGTTTCCTATTTGCAGGCTTGCACTTGTAAGCTTGTGTTTCATGTTAGCCACAGTGGCGCCAGCCCCTTCACCCATATTGTACATTGCTAGCACAGGTTTCAGTGCGATCTAATGCTCTATATTAGTCCATTAGTTCCGGAATAAAGGTGACGTAACACTTAACAGAGAACTGTAACAAATGGAGACTGCCAAAAGATACAGTCACGTGATCACGTCAAACCAATCAAATATCAACATTTAAGAGGGGAATAGCATTAGAGCGCTATGACAGAGATCGAGGAGAATTCGGCAATTGTAAGCTAGTGTTACAACTAATGTTGGGGGGGGGTGTCATGTCCGTCTATGTCCGCCTATGTCCTGTCCTTTTTGGATTCTATGAGACAACGGACGTGTTTTTTGGGACATTGGCGGACACGGACGGACATTGGCGGACTCGGACGGACATTGGCGGACTCGGACGGACATTGGCGGACTCGGACGGACATTGGCGGACTCGGACGGACATTGGCGGACCCGGACGGACATTGGCGGACTTGGATGGACATTGGTGGACATTAGCGGACATTGGTGGACATTAGCGGACAAACATTTTGAGGACTGAAGAGTACTGAAGAGTACTGAAGAGTACTGAGGAGGATGGCTGAGAAGGATGGCTGAGGAGGATGGCTGAGGAGGATGACTGAGGAGGATGACTGAGGAGGATGACTGAGAGGGAGGAGAAGGATCAGGAAGACCCAGGAGGAGGAGGACCCAGAAGGAGGACCTAGGAGGAGGAGGAGGAGAACTGAGGAGGATGACTGAGGAGGAGGAGGATGGCTGAGGAGGATGACTGAGAGGGAGGAGGAGGAGGAAGAGGAGGAAGAGGACTGAGGAGGAGGAGGAGAAGGACTGAGGAGGAGAAGGAGGACCCAGGAGGAGGAGGACCCAGGAGGAGGACCCAGGAGGAGGACCCAGGAAAAGGCCCCAGGAGGAGGAGGAGGATTGGGGAGGAGGAGAACTGTTGAGGACTGATGAGGAGGACTGAGGACGGGGAGGAAGAGTAGGAGGAGGACTGAGGAGGGGAGGAGGAAGAGGACTGGGGAGGATGGCTGAGAAGGATGGCTGAGGAGGATGGCTGAGGAGGATGACTGAGGAGGATGACTGAGGAGGATGACTGAGAGGGAGGAGAAGGATCAGGAAGACCCAGGAGGAGGAGGAGGAGGACCCAGAAGGAGGACCTAGGAGGAGGAGGAGGAGAACTGAGGAGGATGACTGAGGAGGAGGAGGACTCAGGAGGAGGCACGAGGAGGACTGAGAAGGAGGAGGACTGAGGAGGACCCAGGAGGAGGACCCAGGAAAAGGCCCCAGGAGGAGGAGGAGGACTGGGGAGGAGGAGAACTGTTGAGGACTGATGAGGAGGACTGAGGACGAGGAGGAAGAGTAGGAGGAGGACCGAGGAGGGGAGGAGGAAGAGGACTGGGGAAGATCAGGAAGACCCAGGAGGACCCAGGAGGAGGAGGAGAAGGAGGACCCAGGAGGAGGAGGAGGACTGAGGAGGACTGTGGAGGAGGACTGACGATGACTGAGAAGGAGGAGGACTGAGGAGTACTGAGGAGGATGGCTGAGGAGGATGGCTGGGGAGGATGGCTGAGGAGGATGACTGAGGAGGATGACTGAGAGGGAGGAGGAGGACTCAGGAGGAGGACTCAGAAGGAAGAGGAGGAGGACTCAGGAGGAGGACTTAGGAGAAATGAGAAGGAGGACTGAGGAGAACTGAGGAGGAGGAGGAGGAGGAGGACTGAATAGGAGGAGGAGAAGGAGGGGGACTGGGAGAGGACTGGGGAGGAGGAGGACTGATGAGAAGGATGAGGAGGAGGACCCAGGAGGAGGAGGACTGAGGACCGAGGAGGAAGAGGAGGAGGATGAAGAGGAGGAGGAGGACCCAGGAGGAGGAGGACTGAGGAGGAGGACTGAGGAGGACTGAGGAGGACTGAGGAGGATGGCTGAGGAGGATGACTGAGAGGGAAGAGGAGGAGGAGGACCGAGGAGGACTGAGAAGGAGGAGGACTGAATAGGAGGAGGAGGAGGGGGACTGGGGGAGGACTGAGGAGGAGGATGGAGGACTGAGGAGAAGGATGAGGAGGAGGACTGAGGAGGACTGAGGAGGAGGATGAAGAGGAGGAAGAGGAGGACCCAGGAGGAGGACTCAGGAGGAGGAGGAGGACTGGGGAGGAGGAGGACTGTTGAGGACTGATGAGGAGGACTGAGGACGAGGAGGAGGAGTAGGAGGAGGACTGAGGAGGGGAGGAGGAAGAGGACTGAGGAAGATCAGAAAGACCCAGGGGGAGGAGGAGGAAGAGTAGGAGGAGGAAGCATCTAAATGTTATTTCCATTTTTGTCCGTTTTTGTCCATTTTTGTCCGTTTTTGTCCGCTCTATTTTTTGTCCGTTTTGAAAATATAGGGTACCGAACGGACAAAAAACATGATCCCCCTATAACAGCAAAAATTGAACATTTTATTTAGCAATTTAGGTGTCCATTAATGTCCGCCTATGTCCGCCTATGTCCGTCTATGTCCGCTTATGTCCGTCTATGTCCGCCTATGTCCGCCTATGTCCGCCTATGTCCGTCTATGTCCTGTCCTTTTTGGATTCTATGAGACAAGCGGACATAGACGGACGTGACACCCCCCCCAATGTTACTTAGAACATCGAAACAAACAATTTATTGAGGGTCTGCCAGAGGTAAAATAATTTGAACTAACTAAAGTCACAGTATAAGTTACAGTACAAGTCAGTGTTATCTGTTTAAATAGGCCCCTGAGATAGCTGAAAATTAAAACCCTCTCCTCGGTTTTAAGCTTGCTATGGAACAGACGTATATTTAAAACAGAGCAATGAGTCGTCAGACGTTCGATCACCACCCAATTTTATGGTGGCTAACCATGAAGCATTATTACATATCTTATAACATTTTGAAGTTCTATAAAACACCTACCCCAGGGACAAAAGGGAATCGCGGCATGTACGGAATCGCGAATTTTCCCATTATTTGCGACAAATTTTATGTATAGTTTAATATACCGCGAAATGTAATTCGTGGTATCGCGATTTTTGGCCAAAATCGCCGCGAAATCCTTTTGTCCCTGACCTACCCTGATATATTTTGCAGGATATCTGGTACAAACAAAAACTACGGTACAATAAAGTCAAAAGGGAAGCCAAAATTTAAACAAGTAAAGATGACAATCGAGCAGCAATATTGTTAACACTAAATATAAATCAACGTGATCTGATTGACGTAAGATTTGCGGGATGGGCCCTGCTCCCCATGCCATACTCAAAGTAAATATCAACTCTAGAACCCACCAACAACAGGAAACCCTCACCTGGCATAATATCTATATCTAGATATGTCCCCTCCTGCACTGCTACTTTTCTTCAGTGTCAGGTGCATCTGTGCTCGCCTCTCCTCGAAGTACTCAATAGCTGGTTTCCCGGGGGAAACTTCCCGGATAGGCTCCCGCCGGTAGGTCATATAAAAGCAGCTGCTGTCTCACAAACTACAACATGTATAAGACGAAATGTGTGGCCTGGTCAAGCTGTGTTCTAATTAGAAAGGTAAACCGTCAAATAGATGAGTTAATGCTGTATGCATGAACTGCTTAGAACCGCGATTGGACAACTTTAAACACAAGTTTTAATTTAGTGCTGCTACCGGATAAGAAACCGTTCTACCATCACCGTTTGCAAATTAACACTGTTAAGCTGGTTTGAGTCAGAAATTCAATTAACAAATTATCATGGCTTAGTTCATATTTTATATAGTTGTGATAAAACATATTTCGATAGTGAATTTATGTGTAATGGTGACCTATTGGTATGCAAATGTTAAATCTTATAGATTTGTTCATGGCTTAGGCTTGAAGGTGATTTTAATAAACGCTTTCAAAAATATTTTTTCCGTCGTCAAATATTTTGTTACAATTATTTACTACTTTTCAGCGTTCATCACTCATGTAGTCATTTCGCAACCATGCAGTCACTCTGCAAAAATTAATGTAACTTTTTTGCCAACTGTTGTACCTGATTTCCCACGGAGCACATGCACTTTCAGTTAAAATCGTGAAAAAAGGACCCAAATTGCACAGTAGACCTCAAATGTTATGGTCAAATGACTTGGAAGCCGCAACCTTTTGTTGATGGCAAATTAGTTAATGGACCAGGCTGCCACCTCGTGACCTTGCACTAGGTACACCACGTGACCTACCATAGTACTAGGCAGTGTACTATGAATATTGAATATATGTACCTCTATGTACAGTAACATAAGGGACGCTGTATGTTTCAAACTTTAGTGAGGTACGTAAGATTGAGGGTTACTCCCACCTAGGAGCTTTGTATAAACTGGCATGAACAAACTTGTACAATTTAATGTACAGATTGTGGGTAAATGCTAAAGAATTGCAATATCACACAGTTGTGAAATAATGATTTTATTCTGTAGAACTAGAAAGTGTGTATAATAGCTTTAAAACACAAGATTGCATACTTGTGCTCTCAATACATTCTGAAGAACCAACCATTAAAACTAAATTGTCTAAAATACAATTTGTATTTATTCGAACCCTTCAGAAATTCTCATATGTTCGAGAATGATAATATAATTTAAGTGGTTCTTCAAAAGTTCGAGAATGATAAGTGGTTAAAATTTCTCAAATATTAGGGTACTTACTTCTTCCTGAAGCGTTTGGGTATGGGGGCTCTGATAAAAGTCTCTGGTTCTTCCTGAAATTAGAATAGATTAGGGAAAAATTAAAATCAGACGAATCAAACATAGGATACGATATGATTTAAAATTAATCATAGGCGTGACATTTCCGGTAGCTCTAGATAAATCTACTTAAAACGGCTTTATATTTTTACGATTCGTCTGTTAGTTCTTGCACGTTTAATGTCATGCACTTAATTTTCAAAGTGCATTACATTTAGGGCAAGTGCACCTCCCAAATACTTCTAACATAGTGTAATTTCTTGGAATAATATTCATTTGCATGTTATTTATTATTATGTTAATAGTGCGTACTAATAAGTACAACACATCAATCGTCAGACAAAAGACGTAATGTCATTTAATCTCTGATTAAGAAGCAAGATCACTTCGTCATAATAAGTACGGCAACCTGCCAACAGGAGAGCTGTCCTAAATGTTCAGTCTTAGTAGAGTCACGTGTTGAGTCACGTGATGGAGAAGGCTTGTGAGGAGCCTCTCAGATATTAGGATGAGTGGATTATTAAATATAGCTTTATCTAGAACGTTATAGAAGATACGTTAAGATATTACTGATAATGTGCGAGGACAGCATTTGTACTGTATCTACTCAACAAATAGATTGAAAAGCAAGCCACAAACAAAAATTTGATAGACGAGAACTTTTACTTAGGAATAAATTTGTAAAAATATGTGAAGTTGGTCAATCAGGGTTATCAGTAGAAATAGGAGACTTTATTGTATTTTCAACAGACATATTCATAATGACACATGGTTCCTCGGAAATGAATCAAAAACCACTTAATAACCCCTTTATTTCATTTATGAACTCGTTGATAAGTTAATATAGTAAATGTGTACTGTATTTATACAGTACACAGATTTACATCAATTATAAATGATGTAATTTGGATTTTCTCTGATTGTAGATGAGACCAAAGTCTACTTTTCTGTTATCCAAGTATGAAATATATCTTATTGGATGTATTTTTGAGTCAGGCAGTCGGCAGTAATGTAAAAACCTTATCAAATCAAAACTTTTAAAAATTATCTGTTCAGTTAGTTTCATTTGTCGCTGTTAAATGTACCATTATCTACAAGTTAAATCACTAAGATTAAGAACTCCTAACAGTCAGCCCCACCAACCAACTAACAATTTCACGATAAGAACTGGGACTCCAATTAATTAACCAATCAAACCTTGAAAAAACCTTGACAATTCCGAGTCTTATCATACAGACAGTTGTAATATTCTTAAAGACTTTCACAATCCTGCCACCCCTGGGGAGTATTATTTTAACAGTTCTGTCTGTCAGGTAGATAATATGGTTAATATTATGTCTGTCAGTATCTCACCAGTACTCTACGACACCTCCTCTCACATCAGTTTAACACCTGGATACACACCACCCCTGTATCTGACGGAGTTAACAGGTACTATCTGTTAACCCCGTCACAGCACAGTGTTATAGATAATTATAGGGGAGGGATACAGAACACAGATGTGTGTGTTGGGGGATATTGTAAGTTGGACTGGTGGTGGGCATGTGCTACCAATGTGCTACCAGCCTGGTGTACCAGTGCCACCTAGGAGCGGTGAATCTTGCGAGGGTAAATGGTGTGAAGTGTCGGGTGGTGGTGTGAAATGATGTGTTATAGTGTTATCTGTGTCTAGTAGAGGGCAGAGGTGGTATTGTTCAGCTAATATATCACTATCATAGTTATCTAGTAACAGTACGCGCTATGTAATCTTATCATAATTAGAGTACTGAACGTTACCCGGTTTATGAGCAATCTGAGGTGGGTTAGCAGTGAGTCAGTAAGGAATGGCCCGGATGGCAGTAATAAGGTCAGTAAGAAATTAGGACTGAGGTTAAATTGGGATCAGTCGATGGTGCAGGGCTGTAACTTTAGGTATGAAGTCATAGGACAATAAGACAGACCCTGATGTAGGTTTTGGCAACATTTTGCTGTATGTATCAGTGTAAACGTGGTACTGATCACTGTAAATGTCAGAATGTCTGAATGCACATTGTGCATTGTTACAGTATTATAAGATTTGCTTGCATGGCTGATGAATGTTTATTGTAATTTATCTCCTCTGATTAGCGAAGATACCAATGTTTTAATCCACAATAAATCTTGACATGTAGTTTAACTCTGTTGACTCTTTCTCTTGAGCATGACGATTTTCAGAGCAACAGCGATCATTGACTACACTGCCCATGATCATCTCCGAAAGTGCGGGAGATCTTCTTGCCACAAGTATTTAAACACACTTAACACAGCAGCACTTATTATGTGTATTTGTTTATAAATTTCATAATATATGTGCATACGAAGAGTGCGAGGTCGGCGCTGTTACAAACAGGCGTTTTCCAAGCTCAGGAGCCAATCAGAACGTTTGATTTCTTCATGTGCAGCCAATGAAAACGGTCAGAAACATCACGTGATCAATCGGGGTGCTTGTTTTCGTCAGATACATGATGTAGATGTTTCAGAGTGAAAAGAGTGTAGATTAAGACGAAAAAAACGGCGAATGAGATTCCTTGGGGCTCGGAGTAAGGACTGAATCTTTTATTTTATTGTGGACGATTTTGTTTTTAAATTGTGAAAACGAAGTATGCAATAATTGGAAATTTCAGTACAAGCACAGTTTGAAAATGATAGTTATAAAATATAGATGCAATAGAGCAGTTATCTAAACTTAAAAATTAAAAAGTTAAAATTTTAAAACTCATGATCTCACAAGTCACAGGATGATCAGAGTTCAAAATGTTTCCAGTTATTTTGACGAGTGACGTCTCCTCCGTGACTTTTCAAAACGAGAGCGTCACATGTTTTAATACAGCTTAAGCTAATTTCTTTGCAATATATCGCGATATGTGTCTCGAACATGTAATATTAATTAATACGGGCTGTTGACCCCTCAAGGTCCAAGGGTCCTGGAGATTGCAGTGAAATATGATGGTACTACATAAAAACCTTCAGTTGCGATCTTTTTTTGGCTGATTCCCCAAACTTGAGGTAGAGTCAGGTCAGAACATATTCTGACGAAGGACCCGGTGGTGTTCAATGTTTCTCAAGTAACACGACTGTCATGGGTAATTATTTCTAAAACGATTAGCAGAATTATTTTGAGTCATTTAAACTTGAAGATTAAATCGGTCACTCTCTCATTCTCTCTACACATGCTGCCGTACATAATAACACACTACTAACATATTGGTAGCTGTAACATAGTGGTCCAAGGTTCCGTACATTAGTAGTGTAGTAACACAGATACATGTAGAGTACACTGCATATCATTTATATCGTCTGTCAAAGCCACTCTTTTCACTACGAACAGGACCACACTTAAGGGGGCATATCCCAAAACAGTGGTTTGTGCCGTCCAGACCAAATGACCTCATAGGCAGTTCAGTGACCTTCTAGCGCACCGTTTCCACACAAAAAAAATTATTTTGAGAATTCCCATTTTTGTAATCGAGCATTTCCTGGTTAAGAGTGCAATTTTCGGAAAAAATTATTTTGTGGTTGAGACGCTATAAGTTAATTATTTCTTTCGGTATCGGGTTGAAATTTTGCTCGCCGTTTATTCACATCTATGTCAAGGTGTGTGTAAAATCTTGAAATCGTATCTAAAAAGGCTGGTGTGTTATGAATTTTTAAAGTCAAAAAGCTAAAATTGTCCTTTTCAGGCTTATTTTAACAAAAAGTCAGTCAGGGAAGATCGGATTATTTGATGCTTGACATCAAATTGTTCTCTGAATTCTGGCGCAGTTTTTGATGCCCTCAAAAATGTTCTTACTCATTCACCTTCTGATCTATTGGACCTCAAAGCCAAACAACAAATTTAGGCACATTTTTTGTTTTTAATATTTACTGATTTTTCTAAAATTTTGATAGGAATGTGCTAGTGACTTTTTGAAGGGTGCAAAATAACCGCAACTAGCACATTTATATATGAGTTATGAACAAAAAAACACCCTAAACTGCTTCCCTTTGGAGTTATGGGAGAAAATGTGATTTTTTATCTGCAAAGCCAAAAAGCCTGAAAAGGACAATTTTAGCTTTTTGACTTTAAAAATTCATAACACACCAGCCTTTTTAGATACGATATCAAGATTTTACACACACCTTGACATAGATGTGAATAAACGGCGAGCAAAATTTCAACCCGATACCGAAAGAAATAATTAACTTATAGCGTCTCAACCACAAAATAATTTTTTCCGAAAATTGCACTCTTAACCAGGAAATGCTCGATTACAAAAATGGGAATTCTCAAAATAATTTTTTTTGGTGTGGAAACGGTGCGCTAGAAGGTCACTGAACTGCCTATGAGGTCATTAGGTCTGGACAGATTTGGGGTATGCCCCCTTAACAAGCTGAGGTATTTGAATTTACACAACAAGTGTTATCACAACTTCCTGCAACAAGTGTTTCAAATATGTAATGAATTGTTTCAGCATTATTTGAGTGATTACTGTCATTATCCGGGAGCACGGGACCGTTATTTGTTTACTCAGCTACACTACAGCTATGCTACACTTAAATAGCAATTCATCGGCTGTAACTCTGTAATTATATTTTATTTAACCTGTTGATAACTGAGGGAATTTGTATTCTTATTGGAATACTCAGATAGGGGTGGCTTAAATCTGTAACAGACTACTGAGTAGTTCTCAATAGATAATTCCTAACTGCCATCTGGGACTCCAGATTCAAATAGAAACTCAATTATTTGATTTTTTAATGAACACAGACAGAGATCACGACTGTGAAATCAAATTTTCTGATAATATCACCGTATCGGGATACTAGGCTATTACGGAACTACTATTTTTATCAGTGAAAACTCAATTAATCAAATACCAGGTAATCACTGAACTGAATCCTCTCCCACACCATGTACTAGCAACTCCAGGGTTCAGCTCTGACTACCTTTACAAGGTGGGACACTCATCTAGAGCTAGTATTACCACAGTTATTACCACGTATCTCACATCCCCTC